ACACCCCCCCACCCCCCCCCCCCCCCCCCCCCACACACATCATTAAGTCAGTCTGCACCCTTTTTGTACCCCAGACACGGGAGGCTGGTGCCGCCACTGCATATCCAGCATCAACAGAGACATTCATAGTGGTATCAGGTGTTCTTGATGTACAAGATTGCAGAAAAATAGGTTCGGTTCTTCGATGCAAAAAATGTTGCTTATAAAAAAGGTAGAGGGCTAAGGGGATTCTCAGCACCTCAGTAGTTTCCTGCACTTCTCAATGTCCAACTATCGAGTCTACAGCCTGAAGAATTAATTTCAAGTGCCACTTTTTCCCAATCAGCCATACAACACTGGCACAGGAAGTAGAGTTATAAAAAAGAATGAGCACAAGCATGAGTAAATATTTCTAATTTTATTTTGCGATATCATCTCGATATCGTAGCGTCTCGATATCGTCTTATCACGATATCGTAATTTCTATGTTACAATTGGAATGTCTAGAGTATGCATTAACGTATACAACGTTACGATTTTCATTGGAAAGTTTTTACAAAAATATAAAAAAAACTACGCTTAAATACAAAATACATCAAATGACTAGAAAAGTCGGCCAATAATAAATATGCACGTACAGGACTGTTCCATTTATTCAAACGAACAGCATTTATAGCTTTGGCTTGATAGTTTCAATAACTACCTATACTACCTAAAAATAAAATAGACTGCTCTTGTTTATCTTTTGAATGGTCCTCTTACGTGCACAAATATATTTGCACGACACGGTAGAAGGCGCGGCTTTATCACGTGATTTAACCACGTGACTATCTTATTTACATATACATATAAACAAATAATAACAAATTTCAATAACAAATCGGACGAATTCGGTAACAGTAACAAATCAAAGAAGAAAATTTAACCTTTTCGGACTAAATGATCTATTGGCAAAAAATGACGCATTCGATTCAAGTTGCGGAACATGATCTAGAGTCGAGAACTATCGAGTTTTTCATAAATATGCTTCAAACACTGGAAAATTGTCCACAACATTGCATCGAAGGCACCAATATTATTTGAGACCAAATAAATGACAAAATAATAATACCACAAATAGTCCGAAAATCTGATTTTAATAAAAAAAAAAAGCCTCACAGAGGCTTGACTAAACACCACATTTACTCAAATAAAAATGGCTCGGAGTTAAAATGGACACTGCATGTGCAAATTTCTCCTGAATTTGCAATTAAAACTGTCTGCACTTGAGCACTTAAATAGCACTAACTCGGGGACGCGTTCGATGTGTCTTTTGAGAGACGGAAAATCTGTCGATAGCACTAGTTAGTCCTGTCTTCGTCAAACTTTCTTCAAAATCTTCAACTTCATTCTTTTGTTTGTCCAGTCTTGTCAAAAATAACCCAAACTTAACAAAAACAACAAAACAGCAACAATTTGACTCTTCAAGGCTGCAATTATAAAAAAAAAATTCATGGTATGACTAAAATACATAATGTACCGCAAGTAAAATAACACGTTTTGTTGCTAATAAATTATTTGAAAATATAACAAAATATATCGTTTTTTTGCCTTTTGATATTTTAAAAAATAGAATATATATGAATGTCATACTTTTTTAAAAGAAACCGGAAATGTAGCTTAATATTTACCTGCGCATGCGTAGCTCTGTGTACAGCCAAAGTTCGGGATTGACAAAATCCTTTTCCACATGTTTCACATTTAAATGGTTTTACTTTCGAGTGAATATATCTGAAAAGAAATACGAAAAAAAGGAAATGAAATGAAAAAGATGAAATAAAAAGTTCCAAGTGGAGAAAAGCAGGACGTAAAACTTCATTTCATTTGTAGCAAGCAAGAGCTAGTCCCAAATATTTTTATTCTCGATGAGAAATGACTAAAAACATTATTTTGAAATAAAAATGAAATTGAAATAAAATCATTAAAAAACTTTGAATGAAATAAATTCATACGAAAATACACACAAAATAGACACGCGAATATTGGCCGGGCAATGAGAGTCCACATAGCTAATAAATTTTTTAATCTTTTACCCAAATTTATGCAAACCATGCGTGTTACACGGATGCGGATGTGATTAAAATCGTAGCATGTAACGAGCGACGGAAGTGCCTGATGCATCGCGATAAGAAGACGGATGTCGTCTGCTAGTGCCAAAGTTTGTAAGTATAATTTGAAACGGATATTTTGATTGCCAGACAGTGTGTATTTTTTTTACAAAACAAAAACAAAATACGGAAAGATGTATTTTATCTTTAAGATACATATATTTTGGTTTCTTTTTGGTGACTTCAACCCGGTTTCCCCCTGTCAGTGATACAAGTAAGATGGGCTGACATGGAAAAAGCGTCTAGTTGTTCAGATGGGACAATAAACCGAGGCCCTGTGTGCTACAGGCTGTGCACGTTAAAGATCCCTCGACGGTTGGAAATCGAAAAAGAGCAGGTTAATGCCACTGTCCTGGCAAAATTTCCCTCTTGGCACTCTGCATGGCGTTGCCCGTCTTCATTAGCCCACATGGTGCAGAAAAGTAGGACGTAAAACTCCATTCATTTCATTTCATTTCTGTTTGGTGACGTCACTTATTGCGAAGAGTCTGTTATGTAACAAAGCATATTTTGTTATTATTCATCTTAGTTTTAGAGGAATTGCAGGAACCACAGACGTCTGATTGAAAATTGGAATGGTGTAAATTGATGCTATCAGTGTCCCTGATACACATTCAAGTTTAGAAAACCTCTTTACAATCTTTTTAATATACACAGAAGTTGTAATTGCATCAGTTGTTTTTGGAAATTTTAGATTAATTGGTGTTGGATTTTAGAAATTAAAAAATTAGAATATAACTAAAAACTATAAAAAATATTAACGAAAATTAATTTCAAATTGTTAAAAATATATAATGAAAAATCAAAACCACTTTTTGACTATTTTTTGTATGTTTTCTCCTTCAAAACCAAATGTTGACAAAACCAAATGTTGACAAAACCAAATGTTGACAAAACCAAATCAAAACAATTTGGAAACCAACTCAAAACCTGCCTTAATCAAAACAGCTTAAGGATAAAAATCAAAATAATTTGTTGACAAAAATCAAAATATTTTGTTGACAAAAATCAAAACATTTTGTTGACAAAAATCAAAATATTTTGTTGACAAAAATCAAAACAAAAATCAAAATATTTTGTTGACAAAAATCAAAATATTTGTTGACAAAAATCAAAATATTTTGTTGACAAAAATCAAAATATTTTGTTGACAAAAATCAAAACAATTTTTTTAACAAGAAACCTATATTATGTTCAACTTTGCACCAGTACATTACAATTGATGGGATTTTTGTTCATAAAAACAAATCCGGTTGCTAGCCACTTATTACGAATCTAGGTGAAAAGTCATCCGTTCGAAATAATCTAATCTAAACACGACGGAAGTTTAAAATGTATTGCTTTGGTTTCAGCGAATTGGTGACAACAATGTTTTGAAAGATAAGGCAATTGAGGCAGAAAAATGGTTCCTGTTTTTCGAAGACGTCATTCTCTTGGAATTTTGAATTGGCGCTTTGGTTCGATAGATAAGGTTATAACATTGTTATATTGTTTTGGTTCGCTTGAATTGGTGACTGATGTTTTTGGAATGATAAGGAACTTATTGTTCCTGGCACTCAAAGACATCGCCATTTTCTTGGAATTGTTTTGCAAAATGTTAATTTTAGTCATAATATGCGTATTTTCGTATTTTTCGTATTTTCAAGTTAATCGATCTTTTGAAAGATAAGACGAAATAGACAGGAATATAGTTCCTGCTACTCAAAGACATTATTCTTGGAATCTAGAAGTTCTGACACGGTTCCATTTGACAAGAAATAATTTCGCAAACGAATATCAAATAGTGGATAGTCCGAATAATTTACCTCTATTCCAGCCTCTGATAAATATTCTGACAGTTGTCGGCTTGAAAAACTAGGCCCTCTTTTATGGAGATTTTCCACACCCCCGAAGATACTTTTTTTTCTAACATAATATTAAATCTAATTTCGAATTTTTATCATATGCTTCATGTACTCTAGCGACAGCATAGGCATAGATAACCAACCAAAATGGAGTTTTACGTTTTACTTCCCTGCTAATGAATAATGGACTTACCTATGATCTCTCAAATGATCCTGTCTTCTAAAAGCCTTGCCGCAGATCTCACAAGGGTAGGGTCGTTCGTCGGTATGCGTCCTCTCGTGAATCAGTAAATTGTACGACTTGGTAAAATGTCTCTGGCAGTATTTGCAAATATACTCCTTTTTAACCCTGAAAAATGAAAATTGATCAAATTGAAAAATTAGGAACAAAAATTATACTTAAAGGCAATATTGAAAAATTGAAAAAAAATTGAAAAATTGGACATGAAAATTGGTCTTGAAGGCAATATTGAAAAATTTGAAGGAAAAGTCAAAAAATTGTATTTTTTTTATAAATAACATTATTAAAAATTTTGCAGAAAATTGGAAAGAAAACTGTTAGAAATTGAATTTTTGGGAGAAAAATTTTTAATTGAAAATTGAATCGAAATCTGAAAATAATTCTACAGAATAACGTATTGAATATAATCCGAGAATGAATCAAAATTGAATGAAATTTTGGGTTTAATATCGTCCTTGAGGAAATATTGAAAGAAATTTTGGTTAAATTTCCTTGTATAAATCATTCATGACAATTGGAAATTTAACATATATAATAGTTAAAACCAAATCAAGCCTTATATCAACTGAATATTTCATTGAATGAATTTAAGAGTGTCCACAATTACTAACGGGATAGTAAAGAGATTTTCTAAAATTGTTCATGTGTATCAGGGACACTAATAGCATCAATTAGCACCATTCCGATTTTCAATCAGACGTATGTGGTTCCTGCAATTCCACAGAAACTAAGTGTTTGATGACGTCACTAATCACGAAAGGGCCATATGTGATATTTGTTACGTCATGATACACCTCGTTTTAGTGGAATAGCAGGAACCACAGACGTCTGATTGAAAATTGAATGATACAAATTGATGCTATCAGTGTCCCTGATATACATAAAAAATTTAGAAAAACTCTTTACAATCCCTTTAACAAGAACCACAGACGTCTGATTGAAAATTGGAATGGTGTAAATTGATGCTATCAGTGTCCCTGATATACATAAAAAATTTAGAAAACCTCTTTACAATCCCTTTAAGAAGAATTATTAATTGAATAATTATCATCAATGTAAGATCTGGCATAAAGTAGGTCGGATGCAGTCTTATCCGTTCTCTAATGACCTTAGTGACATTTTTCATTCATTATAATGAAGGTCAAATTTTCATTTTATACTCAAAATTTCACATGATTCCTACGGTTGTTTGGTTAGGACATGTTTCATTTTTTTCCTACTTATTTTTCAACTTAGTTTACTGAATTATCATTTTTGTTGAATTATAATTTTTGTTTACTGTTTTCTATTTTTGTCTATTTTTTTCTATTTTTAATTACTGAATTATCATTTTTGTTTAATAAATTATCATTTTTAATTACTGAATTATCATTTTTGTTTAATAAATTATCATTTTTAATTACTGAATTATCATTTTTGTTTAATAAATTATCATTTTTAATTACTGAATTATCATTTTTGTTTAATAAATTATCATTTTTAATTACTAAATTATCATTTTTAATTACTGAATTATCATTTTTGTTTAATAAATTATCATTTTTAATTACTGAATTATCATTTTTGTTTAATAAATTATCATTTTTAATTACTGAATTATCATTTTTGTTTAATAAATTATCATTTTTAATTACTGAATTATCATTTTTGTTTAATAAATTATCATTTTTAATTACTGAATTATCATTTTTAATTACTGAATTATCATTTTTGTTTACTGAATTATCATTCATTAAAATTTTTGCAGATTTGCAATTTTTCATTGAAAATTATTAGGACTACGTATTTTAATTTTTCAGTGACACGTTGTTTTTGTTCGAAATTTCATTGAACTTTGCAAATATTTCTGAATAATAGAGAATTTTTCATTGAAATATATTTTTTCTTTTTCTTTCTTTTTCTTTTGGTGAACTTTAAAGATGGGTTCCCTTATTTTCATTTAATACTTATATGAATAGAAAGTAGAGGTGTTCTAATGACTTGAAAAAATACCAGTTTGTCTCACATGTCTATAATTAATTCATAATTAGCTAACTTAGAAGAGAATTACCAGCAGAATTCCAATGAGTGATCGATCAAGAAAGGTCAAAAAGTATTTTTTTGTTTATCCAGACTGTACATACATGGAGATTTATGATTGGTTAAAACTCTTAATTATATGCAATAAGAACATAATGATATGATTAAGAATACATGATAATTCATTAGAAACACCAATTAATCAAATAGTTTGCTTAATTTGACACTAAAAAATAAGGAAACCCATCTTTAAAGACAATTTCATTGAAATTGATAATACTTCTTGTTCGACAAAACCCTCCGTTCGATCGACTAAGCGTGTGTACCTTTGCCTACAGGTGAAATGGATAGAAAATAGGCTAATAGGCTAATAGGCTACTCACCGTTTGGGTCTCTTGATTTTAAACTTGTCATTTTCTGGTGTTGAAGTTTGGGACACTGGAAGCCTCATGCTGTTAAAAAATCTGTTATATCTAAAATTATTAAAATAAAACAAAACAATTAGTCAGAAAATCAAAACAATATGTCCTAAATGAAAAACAACTCGATGAAAAGCAAAACAATAAGTCAGGAAATCAAAATAATGAGAGAAAATCAAAACAAGTTAAGAGAAAATCAAAACAATGAGAGAAAATCAAAACATGAGAGAAAATCAAAACAATTTGAGAGAAAGTCAAAACAATGAGAGAAAGTCAAAACAATGTCCTTAAGTCGGTGAAAATCAAAATAAATTCAAAAATGACTATTTTTTACTACGAGTGGACTGAAGAATATAGTACATACCTCATGCTATTTTGGATCAGAGTCAGAGCATGGCTGTACACCTGGGCATCCTGGTTCTCTGAAACTGTCTTGGACGGTGAGTCTTCGACATCATCATCGCGTGTGGCTGACTCCGCCAGTTTCGAGTAGTCAAATCTCGGCCTCAACTTGGGCTTCTCTTCGGGAGATTCGGCTGAAAGTAAAAACCAAATTTTCAAATGTGTTGAATTTTTTTACTTTCCAAATAAACACTATGTGGACTCTCAAAAATAGAAGTGCCTATCCCAATCTGACATTCCAAATTTTTTTAGGTCGGGACATGACTACACCAAGGAGCTATAAGTATGCATCGTAATGTTAGTATGGGCAAATTTCAAGGCAAATAGGCATAGTGCTTGACATTTTTGACATTCCGAGTTCCTGACATTCCTACTTTTTTCTTTGCTTTTACAAATCAAGTATTTATTACATTGTAAGGACGTATGGCAACTTTCATTGACATTCCGAGTTTTTGACATTGCAATAATTTGGCATGACATTCCCATACTACGGGACCTCTAAATCAAATAGTAGATATGACAATGTAATTATACGGTAACCATTGCTATATTCTGACATTACATTTAATCAAAAAATTTCCAGATTGGGTACTTGACATTCCGAGTTTTTGACATTGCAACAATTTGGCATGACATTCCCATACTACGGGACCTCTAAATCAAATAGTAGATATGACAATGTAATTATACGGTAAACATTGCTATATTCTGACATTTGCAAAAAATTTCCAGGTTGGTGCTTGACATTCCGAGTTTTTGACATGACATTCCAATAGTCTTTGTTGGGTGGGGTATGATTAGATCAAGTAGTAACTATGACAATGTATTTATATGTGTAGTACCATTTATAAAAAACTATTCTAATTGTAAAATGTTCAAGTAGCAAATATGAAACATGATAAAATACTGGCTGTTTTAAAGGTACATTTGGAAAAAGCGTCTAGTCGTTCGGATGGGACAATAAACCGAGGCCCTGTGTGCTACAGGCTGTGCACGTTAACATCCCTCGACAGTTGGAAATCGAAAAAGAGCAGGCTAATGCCTCTGTCCTGGCAAAATTTCCATCATTGCACACTGCATGGCGTTGTACGTCTTCAATAGCCCACATGGTGCAGAAAAGTAGGATGTAAAACTCCATTCATTTCATTTTAAAGGTACATTCTTTTTTTACCAATTTTTGAAGGAATTACATGATTTGTGTATATTTCTAGTATTTCGGAAGACTATTTATATATATTCAAGACTCAAATCAACCTCTCTGAAACAGTAGGTTGCCTTTATACTTTTGTATCATACTCCCCCCCCACAAAAAAAATTGCGCATCTGTCCCTTTAACTATCTATCATCCAATAGCTTCCTTAAAACAAAACTCTTACTCATAGTAATATAACTATTCAGGAAATGGCCACAGTTTCAGTTAATTGTCAAAAACTTCCTGGCATAAATTTGGTTAAAAGTTGTTTTCGTCGAAAACAAAGTGTTAGATTTCAGAAGCAATCATCTACAGTCAAACTTGTACTAACGCACCCCTAATGCAATTTCCGAAATTCGTTTTACGAAATTTTTAGTGAAATTTCATTTCATGGAACTTTTTTGCTTACTCTTTTTTGAACACCTGATGGTACTCCTCAGTTCAGGAGTCCAATACTATACTATTATTGCCCTTTATTTTTTGGGGAATTTTTAGTTCGTCCTGAATTAAAGGCATGCTTATACTTTCTTTAAGACCGTAATCTAATCACAAAATTTTGCTTTACTGGTAATTTTTTACTTGGCAACGGCGTAAAGCAAGGCTACCATATTGGCCCTTGCTTATTGACGTAATGTGCACAAATACTGAAGACAATATAAGGCTTAGTTGGGTATTATAGAAGATGTTTTCCTATAGATGCACTGGCCAAGGTCACGAAAAGAGAAGTGAAATTCGAATCAGATTACAAATTATAAATAGAAATTACTAATCACGACCAGAAACAACATCAAAGCTACGGAAGCCCTGCATGACACTAGACGTTCCGGTGAGACAACGTCAAATTTTGCTTCTGTCGGGCCGCTATGCTGCATTCGATCACGTTCGCTAAAATGTGAACACAATATCACATTGTTCTTTATATCACGAAATTCAATTTGGTGGTAACTGCATTTCCGATTGTAAAACTATTTCGATGAATGTTTATTAAGTGTTGTGTTATTTCGGAATTTTCATTCTGAAATTATTGGAAAAAATTTGATAGCGGAGAATCTCTAACGGGAAGATGACATAAGCGCGTGATAATCAGATGTTAAATTGTTTGTAATAGCTATTTTTGGAAACTGTACTTCGCATTATATATAAATGAAATGAATGGAGTTTTACGTCCTACTTTTCTGTACCATGTGGGCTAATGAAGACGGGCAACGCCATGCAGGGTGCAATGAGGGAAATTTTGCCAGGACAGCGGCATTAGCCTGCTCTTTTTCGATTTCCAACTGTCGAGGGATCTTTAACGTGCACAGACTGTAGCACACATGGCCTCGGTTTATTGTCCCATCCGAACGACTAGACGCTTTTTCCATGTCAGCCCCTCGTACCTGCATCACTGACAGGGGGAACGCATTATATATGGTAGAATTTTAAAAATTAATTTGGAAATTTGGTTTTGGAATTTGAGATCTGTACAATGAATTGTAAACGCAAGAAAACTACGGCACATCATATTATGCTGACAAAATAATGAACACACACTCGCAGATGAACGTAACAAAAATGAGTCCGTTGGTCGGTAGTACCACACAGCCCGTTTCTAAAGAAAAGTTACGAAGTTTACATACATTACTATACGAACGACAAAATTGATTGTAAGGTTTTGATTGGGAGACTAGACGAGGGCTTCTATCGATTTTTTTTTATGAAAAATTAAACTTACGTTCACTGTCGATCCTTTCTCTGTTGAAATCGTAGGCAGGGCTGAACGTCTTAAAGTGAGAGAAGGGTGATCTGACACGATGCGGGGATGACCAGGACGGTGAGGAACAGGTGCTGTCGTAAGAACTATCAGACGACTGGGCGTAGTTCCAGGAATTCATACTGTATTGGTTGAAGACGAAGGACGACATGGCTAGCCGGTTCAGTTGACTCAGGGGAGAGTATATGCCCAGTGGAGGCCCGGGAGTCGGGATGTACGGCAAGGTAGGTAGCGAGGGGTACACGGGCTGTGGATGGACTGTCTTAGCACTCATTTCAAATTCTTCTTTCATTTGGATTCTGACGAGATCTGCAAGAAAAAATAAAATCGATGAAAAAATTACTTGGAAGTATTTCAGTTATCAGTGGACATAGATCAATTTTAGCTACCCGTATCATTTTTAAGAATGGCAATCTGACTTTATATAATAATCAAATAATGCAATAATCAAATCAACCAATAATAAAAGATTAATTTAAATTATTTAAATCATCAATCGATGAAAATGACTTGGACTTGTATCAGTGGACACAGATCAATTTTAGCTACCCGTACCACTTTCCAGAATGGAAATCTGACTTTATCCAGTAATTAAAAAAAGGTTTGCAATAAGCAAAAACAATCAAAAAGTCCTATATAAATTATCAGCCGATCTGGATAACTTTTCCCGACCCGTAACATTTTTCAGAATGAAAATTTGACAACAGACTCAGTAGAAGTTAAAGTGACAGTTTAATTTCCTAATTTTCATTTTATTCTACTCAGTGGATAATTGCTGAGAAAAATGCCCCTCACCCCACAAAAATTAAGTAAGTATTCTTATGATATTTTCATTTCATTTTCAGAAATTATTAGTTATTAGTTATAAAATGAAAGGCATGCTTACTCTCTCTAAAATCGTAATCTATAGTTAAAATTTGGCTTACAAGAATTTTTTTAACTTGGCAACGGTGTACAGCAAGGCTACCTCATGTCCCCATGCTTATTTGCGTATTGTGCACAAATATTGAAGACAATATAAGGATTAGTGAAAATTATTAGCTGTGGCCACAATTATACTAGAAATAAATTATTTAATATGACTTGACTCTGTAAGAACCATCTGAAGCATTCAGAGAGTCCACATTTATTTAGACCTGTTTAAGGTTCTGTTTCAATATTTCTATATCGCTCTACAATTGATGATGTATTGAGCACTATTTTAACAGTGAAAATATTTTATTATTATGGATTATGCAGTAACGGAAACAGTAAGCAAATATAGTTAGTAGCATAAACATTTACTGCTTACGAGATTTGCATCGGAACATAACCAAAAACGCACGACAAACGCACAGAGACATCGAAGTCGTAACTAATTTTTTTTTAATAACCAAATTTTAAATTCTGCGAAATTTGCTCTTACCTTTCTAAATTTCAAAAAGGCTTCCAAAATTTAACAATAAATCACAAAAAAATCAGAATCTATTCCTATGGCAGCGAGTACCAGAATGATTATGAAGTAGAATTTCTGTCACTCGCCTATATAAGACAGTCGTATGTCCCACAGGCCTATAGCGATGACAGCTAGGTCACGTGATGTCGATATACCTACTTGTCTATGTAAATTAGGCGAATTTATTCATAGATTTCTCACGTTTGTTTACGGATGTTCACTTGTGTTTATTTAGTTACTTATTTCTTATCTTTTGAGACAGTGGTAGCCACGCCTCTTATTATGTTCCGGGTGACATGAAGCCACGCCCTTTACATTTTTTTTTTAAATATTTTCAATCGCATTTACGTTCCGATACATTTGTTTACATAGAAATACCCATAAGTGCGTTTTAACAAAACAATTTTTGGTCGAATTCTTAGCGAAATTTTCGTCCCCGCCCCTTAATTAGTAGCTCATTAAACTTAATTAGAAATTTCACCGCAACAATGATAACGAAATATTCGAAATTTAACCTTCGTCACCTTTTTGAACCGTACTACTTTCGATGTTTATTTTGGAATTTATTTCTGGAAATGGTGAAAATTGGAGTTAAAACAAAAATTTAAAATTCTGTGAAATCGAAGTAGGATTGAGTAATAGTTGTCAAAATTTAATTTCGTTCATTTTCTAAATCGAATTTCTTACTTCAAAAAATATTTTAGTTCCATTAAGAGCACAGCATATCACTG